ACTAGTTTATATGGAAATGAGTACTAGTGGGTTTTAGAATGAACATTATGTTATTCGTAAATGAATATTCAACAAATTTGTAAAAATGAGTACGACATTATTTCTGAATGAGTATTGTGTTATTTCAAAATGTGTACCACACTTTTCAAATGAACCATTATGCTTGTGCGAGAATGAGTACTACTATACTTCGGAATGAGTACTACATGGATGTACCTATCTCTAGGTACATCCGGATGTACCATATACACTCCCATCGAAGATAGAGACCGCCTCTGGCGCGCCATGCGTAAAACGCCACGCCACAACAGATTCGGGCGCTGGTAGCTCGCCTTTGAGCCATAGGCGCCTTTGGCGTAAATGGCGCTCCCCATTAACAACTATGGCTATTCCTCAGCCACTGCCACCTTTGACATAATAATGGTTTCTAGGTAGCTTTCCAATTCTTTACCCAATTTAAAATCCCTCAAGTCAGAAGTGCTTTCTATCTCTATCAGACCAGTAAGCCTCCTCTTCTGGCATTCATATTTCTAAAAAATAGGATGAAATAGTATAGCTGAATCATTAACATCCAAAGATGGTAGGCCAGTCATCTTGTATCCCCTTTTAAATGGCTAATCACTGATTTCTCTGTGGCAAAGAGCCAAAGACTGGATGTTGCTGGTAGAGATGAGTTCACAGTATAAGTAGTCTCAACAACATCTAGCTGTATCCCCTGGTTTAGAGCCACTGACTCAGTCACTGATTGAGGTGTATTCCCTGTTTTAGAGCCACCAGCAACATCAAGGTAGTTGTCCAATGAAACCTTTACTCTATCTGGCAGCACATGATCTTCATTTGATTTATCAGTGGATTCAGGTTTAGCTAATAGTGGTATAGTGTTCCTGGTGGGATGATTGAAAGAATTTGAAAACCTGCTAGAGTTTCCCTGAATGTTTCTTGCCTCCATAGGTCTTTGTTGCAACTGCACTCCTTCCATTTCCTTAAATTTGTCAGTGTAATCCTTTAAGCTTCTGGCCTGACACAACTTGTTAGAATCTTCAACCACATCATTGTGCGCAACATCATCGAATCTAGTACATACATCAATAATGAATTCCTCCCTTTCAATACTGGTCCAATTTCGTCTAACACTGTTGAACCATGTCCAGCGTCACCTTTCAAATATGTCACAGCCAATTGCACTTTCTTTATCAGGTATATTTCAAAGCGAAAAGTATCGTGTGCACTTCTTGATCCACTTGTTAGGATCAAATCAAGAACACTCACAGAAATCTGATGAAGAAGGTGAAGAAAAAACGAGAGAGTAAAAGTAGAGAGAAAGTGAAACACGTGAAATAACGTGGTAACACCCCGTGAGTAAACTTCCACGGCGGCTAGATGTGTTTATTGATGATTTCAGGCAGATACAATTACAGAGAATTTGACTCTTGCCTCTCTACAAAAATTAGCTACAAAGGAGAATATATATAGGCATTACAACCTCTACTTACTTAACCATTAAGAAAACTTAGTCATTAAGCAAACTTAGCCATTAAGTAAACTTAACCATTAAGAAAGCTTAGCCATTAAGTAAACTTTGCCATTAAGTAAACTTAACCATTAAGCAAACTTAATCATTAAGCATCAGGCTCCATAACCTAACAATTCTCCCACTTGGAGACTGATCCAATCATCTCAGAAATTGCCAACATCATCAATTTCTTCACCGCACCGCAACATCTGTAGTGAACAACTACAGAAGACCAACCGAGGTCTTGCACAACCCCAGTTTCCCAACATCAACATGTTTTGTCAACATGTCTGCCGGGTTCTTTGCACCCTCTATCTTCTCCAAGCTCATGTCACCAGCCTCCACTGCCCTGCGAGTGAAATGGTAACGTCTTCTGATATGCTTGGTCTTCGAATGATAGACTGGATTTTTCACCAATTGGATGGC